TGTGTATGCCTGTATATCCCAGCAATTTCGAGAAATGGAAAGTACAGGAAATTTCTCGACGACCGATGGAAAACTATGAGATCAGATGAAGCACCAGTTCTCAGTGCATCAACCTGAGATTCGTGATCGTCGCTGTGCGGCGCGTGATTCTACTTGACATTTTTGTAAGTAATGTTTTTTGCTCGTTCTCCTCTAGAAGAACGAGTAAAAATGTCAGCTAAACAACCACCAGATAAGGGCATTACTTTTTGGTAGATTCCCACAGAGGAAGCTGAAATAGTTAGAGAGGCAGAATGTGAAATTTCAAATCATTCGACTGTTAGCTATTATAATTCACTAGAGTTTCTGCAAAAAGCTACGGATAAATAGAAAGAACGGATAAGAATGAATAAATCCAAAAAGATTGCAACTTAAAGTTTCAAGAAGTAATCAATAAGCACAAGAACGTCTTTACCCATCTTACTGAAGAATTAAATAGTAATCAGGAATCCAAGGATAACTGTGACTACCAAATGGAAGTTACTATAGCCGATGAGACACCCCCCTCAATTAAAACCACTATTTCTAGTTGTAATGAAAGAAAATGGACAACCGCCACCAAGACTTGTAAACAACCTAACCCAATTAGGAAACAAGAAATAGCGCAAGAAAATAAGTAGAAAAAATTATATCCCTAGATCAGCCTAAATAAGTTAAATAAAAAAATCTTCTCACCCCCAATTGTATTAGAACTGGACGAAATTGGTTGGATCTCGGCCGATCAGGTTTTAAGTTACATTTGCAAGCATGAGTACGAGGCGCAGATGAGAGGAAGATCCATTTTCTTATTAACCAAAACTCTGGAAGATTATAATCAAATAATTAAGTATATGTAACAAAATAAAATGTCTTCGTTTCGACCATACGTACTAGCTGTAAGCAGAAAGAACAACGAAGATAGTTATTAAAAGTATCTTGAAATCTATATTGGTAGAAGCAATGTTTTAAAGTTTAAAAGACAGAGACTTCCCCATCAGGAAAGTGAAACAATTCACTAGAAAAGTAGATGCAATATTATTGAACTCTAAACTTATTTCATTATACTAGACGGCACTGAAGCCGTAAAAGCCGTCTTTAAAGTAAACAATATTTTAAGCTTTAATGTTAAAATAAAGCCACATCAACGGAAAACAAAACACCCAACCCAGTGCTGTCGATGCCAGCGGTTTAAGCATACACAGCATGTTTCCATTAAATGGTATGTTGTAAATGCCCGAAGAACCACAGAAATTCAGAATGCACCACAGAAAAGATCTCATCTACACCTTGTGCAAACAAAATCATGTAAGTTTATACATAGGATGCCCGGAGTATCAAAATCGATTAGCCGAACTACAGAAAAAAAGAAAAGAAAAAACTCTCACCACCAAAAATTTCTCAACAGAATTTTCGGCTTTGCCTTCTAAATTTACTGAAAATCCTAGCATCTTAAGAAATAGCTGCAGCGGCATGTTACTGAAAATGACCAAATTCCTAAAGAAATTCAAGTAATTATAGACATTTTCTTACAATCAAACAATCTTAATTTTCATTCGGAATGTATTGCAAATCTGAAAAAAAAAAAACTAAAAATACAGCTAAAAAACTCCTACTTGGTTTTCAAGCAGTCCAGCTGATGATTAAATTTTCTGAAACGAAAGAGTAAAATGATAACCGAACAGATAACGTCACCAGCTACAGTTCTTGTCATCCAAGAATTTCAAGATGTTTTCTCCCGCACACCTTCTGACGTAGGTCGAAAACGTTTGGCGCAGCATAAAATTGATATAGGATATATTCTGTTAATTAAGCAACATTCAAGAGGCCTACCAACTGTTAAACAGGAACAGGTATGAAAACTCTCAAAGGGCGTGCAAGAAAATGATTTTATCGAGCCATAAGCAAGTCTTTGGGCCTCTTACATCACTCTGGTCAGAAAGAGAGACGGTTCAACCAGATTTTACTTTGACTGCCACAGGTTGAACTGCAACACAAAGAAGCACAACTGTCCTCTTTCCAGAATTTATGACATTCTGGACACGCTTTCTGGAAGAAAGCGGTTTTCGACGGTTGAATTAAAGAGTAGATATTACCCATTATCAATACATCCTGATGACCGAGAAAAGATGGCGTTTCTATCGGAGAAGGATTTTGACAGTTGAAGGTGATAACGTTTGGATTGCGCAATGCGTAGTCAGGATTCGGACTCGTTATGGAGACAGTGCTGAGAGGTCTTTCCTACGAAGCTTATCTGATATACCAGGATGATAGTAGAATTTCGAGGAAGCCTATGTACAGTTAAGTAATGCCAAATATAAATTGCCCAGACAGAATGTGACTTACCTCGGACATATCGTCCCCTCCAAAGGGGTGTGCACAGTAAGTAGTCAGTGATTTTCTTAAGTATTGCTTCCTGTCCAGAGATTATACTCCCCGGTAAGTGCAGCCCTTGCGAAGGGAGCAATGCCACTGAAGCTTGTATAATAAATAATTCTAGCGAAATTATACGTAAATTTATAGTATCTCTTGTATAATGTAACATAAAAGGTTTCACAAAATGTAGCTTCGCCGAAAAAATAACATTACAGGGGCAGGTCCGTTTACCATTGAATAAATGTCTACCTTGCCAAAATCACAAACTAGCGCAAGCTGACAGTTGTTTCATCGACTAATTTGTATCCCCAGATTTGGGAAGAAATCGCCATCAGAAGAAATGTCATCAGACTTGGTGACATTTTGGTCCGAACTCTGTGTACTACTGTCACTTTGTAAACGTATCCAGGCCTATACAACTATAACTGTATAAGCCAACAATTTCAAGAAATCAAATCCACTGGAAACTTGGCGGCCGAGGAAAATATATAAGAATGGATAGAGCATCAGTTCTCAGTTTAGTTCAGAGATTAACTCATAGTATCGTTAGAACTGATAGATCACTATGCGAGCTTAATGCATTTGAGGATTTTATATATTTTCGTGTGTTTAACATTATTGGCAGTTTACCAGAAGTAGTAACTACTGGTTGTGCTCCGTCTGAGAACAGCTGTACGAGCATTTTTGTAAACAGTCCCAGAACAGTAAATTGCGTCTTTTGGGAAAATAAATATTATCAGGCTATCATCGGTTCTCTGGGCATTCAATCCATTACGAACCCGTACGCACGTAATAATATGCATGTCTATTAGTTAATGTCTAAATGTCTCTTAAATATATAACATATATGCATTATATACTTATAAACCAAAATACCACGATCATCCCTATTGATGATGACTACTAATTTCGTGAGAATAGGTTATTCGGAATGAGATGGCACATGAAAAGATGAAATTGCTAGACAGAAACTAAGATAATTAGGTAACATGTGTTAAGGTATGTTGCTAGAGATATTGAGACATCATTTTATCGGATACCTGTTCGTATAATGGAAAAACTATTTATTTAAGTGACTTTAATGAAAGCCAGTTTGAGGTGCCCCTAAGCAGCAAAGGCCGAGTATCTCCGAAACTGCATTACTCCTCCGATTTTGCGATTTGCCGTTGTTAACCTCCATGAAAATTGAAGAGAACAGTGAAATCTGCAGTAGACTCCTAGTGAATCTGCAGTAGGCTGTGTATGTTTGATCAGTCTTGCATGGCAAAGGCAAATAGTTGGCTATCATTTGTCTGCGACCATATGTAAGTAGAATATAATTCTAGTGCACGTATAAATATTTTTGCACACCCCCAGTTCATCGGACTCTGTTAGATGTGGGATACCTCAGCAGACTTTCCTCTCACGTGCCAATGTAAAAGCCGGCACCATCGAAGTTTACGACTACAGTAGGCCCATTGAAAAATACAAGTGTTAGCTGGTCCAGTGAATCAAAATTTCTTTTACAATTACTTTGATGACCATGTGCGAATACTCCATTTTCGAAACCAACAACTGATCGGCAAGTGTATCGCCGCATGTTAACCCGCCTGTGATAAAAATAGATTGCTTTAGGGATAATCCTCTACGGATTTCGGGGGACCGATGCGTGTTGTAGAACATACCACTGCAATAATGGTATATGTGAAAATTCTTACTGACCATTAATATCCTTTCATGTCATATAATTATTTGAGGGACTTGCTGATGAATTCTATTTGGTACTCTAGCCTCATATAGGAAGCTGACTTGATCAGTAAACTAGTAATTATAACTTGCACGCTATTGATCTTATTGCGCCTTTTACGATATCATGGAGCGGTGTCGTCTATGATGTCAATATTATCCTACAAACTCTTTAAAATGTTAAAAAACTTAATTCTTTCTTGAAATTTAATAGTAGGCAAAAACCCTCGAAATCGATAGAATTTTATTTGAAATCTGTGCCCAACTAAAATGATTTTTTTGCCTAATTTCAAGTTTAATATTGGAGTATTTCTTTTCAAGTTTATTTTTGTACTTTTTAAAATACATCTCTGGTACATACATCTCTGAATAAAGCGATGTGCTTTAACCATTTTAATTAAATTGTAATTATATTCATTACTTACATTGGATAAAGGTTCATTTCTTTATTGTTTACTCAGAACCTTAAGTTTCGAAATTTGCTAAATATTTTAGTTTATGTTCTATTCTGCTGCTTTAGAGTATATTATTAGTCAAAACTGCATAATTTATTTTTCACAGACTGTGGTTCCATAATATTAAAAAATAATGGTAACATAATTATATAATCATGACGAAAATTAAATTTCTGTGTATTATGCCCACAAAAACAACAAACACTGTTTACACTGGAACACTGGAAGCTACAATTTAGTCTTCAAGGCACTAGCGTAATAAAATCCCTAATAGTAGCATATTGATTTTCATCATAAAATTGTATCCACTCTTGTAATTTATTTGATGTAATTACATTAAAGTCAATATGCTCGATTACTTTTTGAGAAAATATAATAAGAATTCGTGTGCTTAGAATTTCATGTTGGATTACAAAAATCATTCAGAACTTGTTACAAAATCATTTATTCACAATATTGGCACAAATTGTATCTTTGAACGAAGCCGAGGGCTTGTTGCATGGGATTATAGAGTGAGTTTCTGTAAAAGAATGTACATGCTTTATCTATGCTCATTCCAGCATCATCATCAGGTATCGATTCCCATTTATTTAGTTTTGCTTTTCGCAATTGCTTATACACATTAGACGCACGAAGAAGTTTCTTAACACCATTTAGATCTGTTGTCATTCCCAGAAAAGATAACAAGCCACTCATAACTGTTTCTGGATTTTTCATAAAATGCTCAAAGAGTACAATTCTATAAAAGTTTTTATATCCACTGCCTTCAAGTCTCTTTGCTGTCTGAACATCATGAAGCATTCTGGAACATAAACTTCTACCTTGAAAAAACATATCTGTGCCAGAAACCCATCCTGGGCGAGCTTTTTTGTTATGCAAGTGAAGATTCACTCTTGGATCTCGTTGCAAGATGATCACTTTCACTATGTCCTTGTTTTGTGCCAGAAACTCCTGGACGTCTTGAAGATAAATTCGAATTGTTTTGGCAACAACTGTAGGTTTTGATTTGCAAGTTGCTTCAATGCATTCAGAAACATTACTTTGAATTAACTTGCAAGAAGAATAAGCAACTGGGGCTATTTTCTTTATGATTTGATCAGAATATCCCATCTTTGATTCTAAAATATTGCACTCAAAGAGATCAGAAAGGTATGCTGTTGCATCATAAATAATCCTCCTTGAAATCGGTTCTTCCCCATCTTTCAAGGAAGTAGAATCAAAAGGATAGAGAGGTTCATCGTAATAAAATATATCAGAGTGGTTCTTGAGTATATCTGCTACGTGTAAAGGACTGGTGTTGAAATAAGAAATTATCAATACTTTTTTTGCTTTATTTAATTTGCTAGTTGTGATTTTCTCATTGCTGTATTTCATGTTTGGAAGAATGTGCACTAAGTAAGGGGCTCTTGTTGGTTTTCTTTTCTTCTGTTTTGTTGGCTTTAGTATCATTAACTTAGGAGTAGAGCGAATTGGTGCGTTGCAAGTGGAACCTGCAACAAAAATGTGTGAGAAAATGAAAGACATATAATGCTTTTTACATTACACAGTAGATATAACTCATAGTAATGTTGCGAAATAAGCAAAGAGAAAAATTAGTTTCTAATACCTTAACACTGAACAGATTAGAAAAATTTTCTTCTTCATCTATGAGTGCTGAGGATGAATTTCAATTAAAATCATTAGCGAACATTGAGGCTTCCGCGGCGCTGCCATAGCACTGCCTATCATAATTGCGTCATTACTGTTCCAGGTCCTATTGTTTAATAAAATATAAACTTTTATGACGAAGTCCCGGCATCATTATGAAAATCAGTTTCGAAGTTGAGGGAAATAACCTACTTAAAATCACCGGAGCCTTTACGTAGGAGCATCATCGCGCAAGCAGCGTTTTCGCTGGCTTTATTAATCAAATGGCAAACTTACTCTTTTTGCATGGAGGCGGCGTCTAAAGTCCCAGCATTTTTAAGAAGGTAGCTTCCAAGAATCTAAGACTTGCTTTGGTAAGGATGCTGGTACCTTTATACCGGAGCACCATTAAGAAGTCTCTGAGAATATTGGTAGACTTGCATAAAAGTACCTATATGTTGATGATGAAATATTTTAATACAGTTGCCCTGTAGTTCTGAACCAATTTTAAACGAGAAAATCTCACTGATTCAATTTTCTGTGCAAATAAAAATTAGAAAGCAAAGAAAGCAAGGATAGGAAACATATATGAGGATAAATAGATACTTATTAAAAGACATTTTTTATAAAGAGGGCACTTAGCCAAACTGCGAATCTTTTGTAGGAAGCACACAGTTGCTGGTGTCAGTTAAATCACATCGTCAAATTCCGAATGACCCAAGTCCTTTCATTAGTGGAAATTCAAAGAATCTGTCAAATTTCATGTTTCGAGAAACATGATATCTATGACAAACACTGAGAGAAGATGCGATAAAAAATTAATATTCAGCTCAGAAGAACTAAAATCTGGGGGACCTAAGATATTTTAAATTACTTTTTATACTTGAGTGTGTTGAGAAAACATTAAGCGTATTCCTTTCAAATATCAGTTTAGTTCAGATACTTTATTAAAGTTATTCCGGAACAGCAAACATTTACTTCGTTTGAAAGCAACTTTCTGTCTTAAAATAAAAAGAGTTATTTAGAGCTAATTACGTGTTAGAAAAACTTATGTTTATTTAAGCCGTTCATTAGCTGGAGCAATAAATTGGTAAACATAGGTAAAATAAAGAATTTTAGGCATTATTTAGCACAGAAATAGGTTGTAATGAGCTGCAATTATGCCACATTTATATATTTATTTATTAATTTGCATAGTCAGCGTCAAAGTCGGCGTTTAAAAGATTTGAATCGAAAAAACGAAAAAGAATAAATTTTTGCATTGTTTTGTTCTTGGCGTGGATGCTGAAATTTCTCACCGCGTTTCATGTATTGTCTAGAATGTGACAGAATTCATCCTTTAAAAATTGAGTTCTCTCTTGAGAGAGGACTCTCCCCCCCCCCATCTGATTGTTCGGCTTTCAACAACTACGCCACTCTCCATGAATGCGTGCAAAAAGGAAATGTTTTTTTGAACGAAAATTTTTAACAGAATACTGAAATTTTGTAATTAACATTATAGAGACATTAGTTTATTTTTGAAGCAGGAGATGTGAGATGCAGGAGATGCCCTTGCCGGAACTCGAACCACGGACTTCGCGAATAGGCGCCGAGTGTGCTGATCGCGAAGGCATACTAAGAAGGTGGGAGAAATACCTTATATACTCTCCCTTTTAAAGGGCGACTGGGGATTAGGGGCCCCAATCACCAAATCCTGGTGGTGGAGAATCATCCACCACCGTTTTTTAGTTCGGACGCTACTGTAGAGATATTAGATTATTTCGAAAGCAGGAGAGATGAAAAATGAGCAATGCCTTCGCCGAGACTCGAACCACGGACCTCTCGAATACACACCAAGTGTGATGATCACTACACCACGAAGGAGGGAGAAATACCTTGTAACATTTTCTTTCTTTTTGGCTACGGAGTTGGTCTTTATCATACTTCGTATGCACCGGCTATGAATAGGATGCCGTGAGAAGTCCTCCCGGCTCTTTTGCTATCAATCTAACACAGTAAGATCTCTCCATTCGAAGTGACTATACGCCTCTTTACCACCTCCAGACCTTCCGCATGGGACTCCCGAGCCCATTCGGTGTAACTTTTCAAGTTTTTTGTTGAAGTATCTTTACAAAACCTTGCGAATATGGAATCTACTAGAGCTGTGGTTAGAAATAACTCACGGATCATCAATCTGTCCAGATAAGCAATTAGTTCGTGTTTTACACACCACTCGATAACTGATTACGAAGCTTTTTTTCCAGTTTTTGTGATAACGATGCATTTCTTCCCAATATCCACTGACATTAATATACAAGAAATTAACACAAAAATATTGCCATTTAATAATTAAGAAATTTTCATAATAACCTTAATGACAAAAATGTAAAATCTTTTTATTCCTATTCATAAATTTTTTAAAAATATTTAAGAGAAATAGTAACTGTAATTTAGTCATAATGAGGAAATGTAAAATCTTCTTTTACTCCTTTCTATAAGTATGTTTGAAAATACTTAACTACTTTATTTCCCGGAAGAACACTAGCATGACATGTTTACTAAAGAGATCTAAACATATATAATTTAGTTTGGTTGATGAAATGAGTTGTTTATATTTGTTTCCAGACACTTATACACTCTTGTTAACCAGTGTTGGTGCTCCATATAACGTTTTCGGTTTTCTTTAACTACACTGCTGGCCACCGTAAATGCAACACCCTGAAGGAAGCATGCAAATAACATGGAATTTACAACATGCATTAGCGGAGGTGAGATATGCAAATGATTAGAATTTCAGCGCAGACGCACATCAAGCGCGCCTGTGGCGCCACTTCAAAGCGCTATTTAAGGCTTGGAGTTTTCGACGATTTCAAGTTCGGCAATTGTGTTTTTCTTGAGGGTTTTTTCAAAAAACGATCAATTATGCCTCGTAGTAAACAGCGATCATCGTTTGATCAAGTATCCGTTCGACAGAGGAAGGACAGTGGCCTACCGAGAGTATGGATTATCTTTCAGGGAAATCGGTAGTCGTGTTGGACGAAACCAAACAACTTCAATACGGATATGTGACCGTTCGATGCAGGAGGGTACGACGGACCGACGTGTTCGATCGCATCCACCTCAGTGCACCACTTCACGTCATGACAGGAACATTGTGCGACTGGCAGTGACGGATCGCTCAGTCACATCACGAACCATAGCACCTCAGTCTGTAACGCATAATCCAGTGTCTGCGCGTACCATTCGACGCCGTTTACAGCAGAGTGAGTGGTCTGTCCACAAGACGTCCATTGCTTCGCCTACCCTTGACGCAGAGCCACAGACGTCTCCGCCGCCAATGGTGCAATGAAAGAAGGATGTGGACGGGAGAATGAAATGAAATTGTATTTACTGACGAGTCACGCTTCTGTCTGCAGCACCACGATGGTCGGATTCGAGTCTGGAGACACCGTGGAGAGAGGATGCTGAACAGCTGCGTTATGCACCGCCACACTGTTCCCGCACTGGGTATTATGGTATGGGGCGGTATTGGATATCACTCTCGCACTCCTCTAATACGCATTGCGGGTACTTTAAACAGCCAGCGCTACATCTCCGAGGTGTTGGAGCCAGTTATCCTTCATTATCTTCAGGGCTTGCCCACAACCATATTTCATCAGGATAATGCGCGACCACACGTGGCACGCATTGACTAAGGGTTCTTCGTCAATCGCCAGATTGAATTGCTTCCCTGGCCGTCGATCTCCGGATCTTTCGCCGATAGAAAACATGTGGCCCATGGTTGCTGAATGATTGACTCAGATTACATCCCAAGCTGACACACCAGATCAACCTTGGCAACCTGTGAAAGCTGTTTGCTCTGTTGTACCCCAAGAACACATCCAAGGTATCTTTGAATCAATGCCGAGGCGTGTGGCAGCGGTGATCTCCAACAGTGGCGGCTACTCTGGCTACTGATTCTGGAGGAACCACACTTCACAGAAGTCTATAAATTTAATCATTTGATACCTGTTCAACATGTTATCTACTAAATAAATTTTGTTGTGATATCTCTTGTCTTTCTTGGTGTTGCAATTTGGGTGGCCAGCAGTGTATATTATAGACAGCGCAACGTAACCCTTTGCTGAAACACTTTAATTTACACATTTTAAGGGTTTTGAAAGGTTACCAGAGCTACTATACAACATTTTAAAATAAGTATTTCATCAAAAAGTTATTAAAGTGCACCATTTTATTTTGCACTTTGTATGTTGAAACAGCTACCTTGAGAGATACGTTTCTTATGATTGTTTATTGAACTAGCTAACTTGATATTTTTTAACTTTTTATGGTTAGGAAACTTTAACCACAGGTCAGAACAGGAACATGCATACGGAATACCAGGAATTTCCCAAATGGTAATGTAAGAACTGTCCCGAAATTGCTACTGATCCGATGTGACACCTTATAGGTGATAGCGTTTATCTTTAGAAAACATTTTCGTGCAGTTATTATTTCGCAGTGTACGAACATTAAGAGAAAGGCTTGTTTCTCAATAATTATTACTCAGAAGTATCTTCGCTTTGTTCCAAAAGGCACTTTACAACATATTCTTTTGTGATGGAATTTTGGATTGCTAAGACTATTATATGCTTGTATTAATGGATACGAGAATAAGTAGTGCTCTGGTGGGATTCTTTCGCCACAAACACAGCTGTCTGATTACAGCCGATCACAAACGTATGTTTTCTCGCTGGAAATATCAATTTCGCGCATGTATCTTTCTCGAGAAAACTTTCTGACGCATTGTGCTGTAACGAAAAAGATCCATAATAAATAAAGCTACAATCATGGAGCTATCTATTGAGCTGAATCTTTTTCCTTTTTTGTTTTATTTATTCTTATT